CTGTGTTATATTGTTAATTGTATTTTTATATTTTAATTAATTGAAATTAAAAGCGTCATACAACTTTTATCCAATATAACATGCTTTATTCCCTGAATGTTCTCAGCTAGTTTGTCTTCATGTGGGTTGTGTTTTAGGTTCTTTCTGGTTTCTTTATACACACACCACCAATTAGTCATGTGACTTCCAAATAACCAAGTATTGTAAACAGTATTCCATGTCCATTTCTGACAGAAAACAATATGTCCTCATAAAAGAGCAAATATATACAAAAAAATATAATAAAGATGTCAGTGAACATACAGCAGTACTGCCAGCTTTTAAAAATATCTTTATAAAGGAGTAGTGTGTCGTTTTGGGAAATACACTTAATTATACAGTAATTTACTTTCTTACCAAGAGTTTATCAAGAAGATTGATACCACTCTTATGTACATTAAATAAGTCAATGTAATTATAGCCAGCAACCAGTTAGCTTAGCTTAGTATAAATACCGTAAGCAAAATCCACCTAAAATCCACCTTCCAGCACAATTAGTTTAACCTGTCAATCAGCAAGCATGTTGTTAGGAGGCAGGAAGGATCTAATTAAAGATGCTGTCCAGCAGTATGGGAAATTTAGGATCCAGTGTATTTTTTGAGTTTTAGCCATAGCGGGCACTAAAAGTCAGGTCAGGAGATCTCGTCCTCTAATACTTCAGTTTTGACAACTCTTTTGTCTCTCGTAAACACTCCCAACTTTATAGAAATTGAACTACTCCTCTAATTCTTTTAAGAGATGCGATTACAATTCCTCTGGATGCAAATTTCTTCATTTCAAGCTCTCAATATCATATTTTACTTGTTCAGAATTAGACTTTGTCTTGAAAAACAAGTGATAAATGTAAAGAAAATATCTTGACACCAGTCTACATAGGACGAACGTGCTTAGTCATACTTGTGTGTTTCACATCTCTCTTAGTATTTCACCCTGTTGCCATCAGTTTTTGCTTGTTGTCTCACCGGTGTCATGTTGTGTGGACAGACATTGAGCTGCTGGCGGCCTGCAGAGAGGAGTTCCACCGTCGTCTGAAGGTGTATCATGCATGGAAGTCCAAGAATAAGAAACGCAATGATGACGGAAGTGATCAGAGGGCTCCTAAATCTGTCACTGACTATGGTTAGTATAAAAGTGCTCCCAGTATTATTCTGTTGCTCTAAATTAATCTCATTGTATTGCTTCACCTCTGGATATGAGAACAAATCTGTATACTCTCATATTCAGCATATAAACGTGCTGCACATTTACAGATGCACGCCTCACCTGAGCCAGATTAGGTTACAGGTGACAGATGTTTATTTTCTCCACTTTCACCTCCCGCTTTCACTGGCAGGAATAAGTGACTTGCACAAATAGCCTGCCTGCGTTTTCTAACCTTCAATTAGCCAATGAAAAAAAATGCAGCTGCCTTCTGTTTGGCTCTGTCAGAAATATTTGTTCTAATTAGCAAGTAACTGCCAGCCACGCCATGTCAGGTTGTATGACAGCTCGCTGCTCTGCTCGATTCGTTCTCAGCTCAACCAAGCATGGTTTGTGCTGCACTCACACACATGCACAAATGTTGTTTAGCTGCTCAAAAGCTTGCTGGTGCTCTGCGTTTCCCTTCTATTTCATCTTTAAAAACATATATTAAGTTTGATGGAGAATGGGAACATTAGATTCACTGTTGCTTCTACTTTCACTATATTTACTTGCCTTTCTCCTTTGATATGATAGCTCCTGAAAGCCATACTGGCTGCGCTTTGTTTGCCTCATATTTGGATCCTGTTCTTGGCCTCTGCTGATACAGCAGGGGTTTTATCGGGGCCATTTCATAAGAGGCTAAAAGCTGCTTTACCTGGCTTTTCCATGTGGTATTTACTTGGGCATTTCCTGGGTCCTTTTTGATCTTGTGTTTTGAAAGTTTTAGACTTTGTTTTCTGCACAGCTCAATGTGTTTTCACTGTTATTAAAACACATAAAAACATGAGTTTCATTTATTTGAAACCAAATGACGGATGTTTTGTTGTGAATACTCCTTCCTGTAATGCTACTCTGGAGATCTCCAATTTCAGATCAAATTCTTGAATGTATTTGACACACACTGTCTCTCTGTCCCTCTGCAGCTGAACAGAACCCAGCTCCTTCAATGACGGCCCAGCATCAGGAAGTGGCCATGAACCGCCAGCAGCGATATTTCCGCATTCCTTTCATCAGGCCCGCCGACCAGTACAAGGACCCCCAGAATAAAAAGAAGGGCTGGTGGTACGCCCACTTTGATGGGCCCTGGATAGCCAGACAGATGGAGCTTCACCCAGACAAACGGCCCATTGTGTTGGTCGCAGGTGAGTCAGCAGCTTTTGCTTTTGGTCTAATTCTAGCAACAACATCTCTAGAAAATCTGATTATTTTTGCTTTATTTCAGGGTTGCAGAGAAGCCTTATTTTCAGTGTAAAATCTTCTGCCGGTAAACCTCTGTCCTCATTCCTCCACCACTCAGGCAAAGACGACATGGAGATGTGTGAGCTGAGTCTGGAGGAGACGGGCCTGACCAGGAAGAGGGGGGCAGAGATCCTGCCCAGGCAGTTTGAAGAAATCTGGGAACGCTGTGATGGAATTCAGTACCTCAAGAAAGCCATTGAGAACAAGCAGGCCCGTCCCACATACGCTACCGCCATGCTCCAGAGTCTCCTCAAATGAACCAGTGCGCACAAGATAAGCACACAACCACCAGCTTAGTCCGGAAACATGACACTAATACACACACTCAAACACAAACAGGGCAGGGCAGCACAGTGTACCTGTGGTTTGTGGGATGAAAAGAAGTTACCACAGAGGAAGATGCTGAATCATCTTCCTTTTAACTACCTGTATGTTGTTAAGTTTCACTTTTTATATCTTTATTTTGCAGTGGAACACCTTATTGGTGTAGGGTTAGCATTTGTGTTCAGTCTTCTTCTCAGTCTATGCTTGAATGCAATATCCCACTGTGAGGCCTTAAAATGCAATATCACTGCACAACACCAAGAAAGTCTTAATTGGTGCATAGCCTGTCTACAGTAACTGTCAACCTGAAACCTTAATGGTCTGCAATAGGGACAAAAAATGTGTAGAGACATTTAATGGTGTCTTCTCTTTCAAGTCATACATGATAGTCGTATGAATATTAAGACCATAATTAGCATTCAGTGTCTATAAATACATCTGATTTGATTAGAAAGAATTGAATTTTTCACACACATGCAGTTTTTCTTTCTGTACTTAAATGTGACAATCATGGATAGAAGGTCATACAACTAAGAGAAAGAAAAAAAGTTATATTTATAAAACTTATATAATCTTATACTTTATTTTATAATGAGTAAAATATAAAGGATTCAAATATTATATTTCATCCTCTATCTACTACAAATGCGACTACATCAAATGGAACAAAATTCATGTGGCTAATTCTTGAATCTTTTTTTTTCGTGTAGTTGAAGAATGTATTTTTCTTCCAGAATAACCTTTTAAAAAAGATTTATTCATTGGAAGAAGTGCTTATACCACCTTAGAAGTCTTGTCTTTTTATCCATCCATCATTTTCTCAGCTCACACTCACACCTTTGTTGACTGCTGAAATCCTTGAAAAGTGACACTCTTTTGTATTGTTGTTTATTTGATATTCAAGAAGGGAAGTGTAGAAGTTTGTTTGCAGTTTTTTGGCTTTGGGGTTGTTTTACAGACAATAATGTAATTTGTGTGTGTGCTTGTGTTACGTGTGTTTGTTCAAGTAATATTTTGTGAAGCTGATTATTTGACTCCTCTGTTGGTCGGGTCATGAACATTCCAGTCATCTCATTGGACAATCAAACACTACATTTGTTTAAACTCACAACTATTTAGTGAAAAGATACAGTCAACTGTAACTAATGATTCATATGTTTCCTTTTTGATTGTCTGTTGTACTTTGGCCTTTGCACTGGACTAATGTAGAAAATAAATGATTGCCCCCATGTTTTTTTCTTGCCAAGTTACTATTGATAATTCACATAAGCACATGAGATAAGTTAGTAACATAGCTGTAAGTGGCCGGTGCTCTGTAAATGGATCCGACATCCTAATGCTAATGGCAGCTAACGAGATTAGTGTGTAGATTAATTAAACAACAAAGCCTAATGTACTGCTGGTGTCGTCACTGAGCTGAGGCTCGCTCCAGTTAAGTCAACTGGATAAAAACAGACTTAAGGGCCCCTTCAGTGTATATTTTAAGTCACAGATACTTTTGGTAACCAACACTAATAAACAGTAAGTGGACATGCCCTTAACCCACATATATGGTTGATATCAGCTTCAGTCTCACCAGTAAATATTTTTGATTTTTCACATCTCGCTCAAATAGACATAACAAATGAAACGTCAACATTTTTAATGCAAAAAATATTTTATTTTTTGCTTTTAAATGTAAAATGTGTAAAAAATCCCAAAGACAAATGATTAGTGGGAAAAGTTGTTTTGAACAGGACAAACTGACGGACATACAGTACAGCAGCCAGTATTTCTATACACAATATGTCATGACCAAAGTCAACAGCTTATACATTCATTCTCTTTTTGGGACACAATGTTAAAGAATAGCATTAAAACAAACAACGTTGTACAGTCTAAAGTTAAGATACCACCATGTGTATCAGTTTGTAAATAATAAATACCTCATTGTGAGGAAAGAACAACCTTTGCCAAGGGTATACAGGAAATGTTCCTACCATTCAATATTTAAAATAAATATTAAGTTCCACTTTTAAACAACCTAAGTCCACCTTAACATCCATAGCTCTCTGTCTAACAAGACACTTTCATCACTATGAACAAATAATCTCAACCACTGGTCTACTGTACTTGCATCTGTGCATGCATCCCATATACAGTTTTAACAGCAACTTCAGTCCTCTACTCCTCGTGTTCGGCTCTGTGTGGCCATGTTGGCTTCTCCTCAGGTGTCATCAAAGAACTGTTACTTCAAAACATTCGTTATCTGATGCCCTTAAGAGACAACATGTTCTGTATTCATTTGGCAGTCGCCACGTCTAGAGGAGAGAGACAGGACAGTGAGTCATCTTTTAAGGAGCCATTTTCCAAAACGGGCAACAACAGAATACCCTTGTAAGTATCTACAAGTTACTGTCATTGTATCAATCAATCAAGAGGAAGTAGTTTTTATTACTCTAAGCACACGGCAGAAGCATTGATCAACACAAGTCGTGCGCTCGTCTTATTTGGAAATCATTTGAAGGTTAGAATTTCATACTTTTTTCTATAATTTATTTTGCATTATAATATAGCAGTTCATTACATGCACAAAACTCAACAATGATTTGGTTTGTGAGTGAAAAAAAAATCAGCAAGGGAAGCATGCAAGGAGGTTTTACCTTTGTATGCATCATAGAGCTGTAAAATATTTGATGTGAAGGTTACTAACCACACTGTCTTAGAGCATAAGATAAAATCCTGTTTATGGACCACATTCAGTATCTAAAGTGTGAACAGGATATCACTTCAAAAGTATTGTATGTCTTACAAAACCTTAGTTTTACATGGCACATTTCCTCAATGAGTTCACTATAGCACTCAAAATACCTATGCTTCCTTCAAGGTTACACTTTTAGGTTAGACTTTCAATGCATGACATCAAGCTTCAGTCTCCGGCACTCACCTCATTGTGCGGTATGCAGTGATGAAAGTCCACCATCTCTGAGACTAACTTTTCTGATCTTGTTGTGTAGAGTTGTCTGGGGATCTACGGAGACAGACAGTAGACAGGCTCAGTGTTCACCGTGTGCTTCATTAATATATTATAGCTCCACAGACACCTCAAGTAGAAAAAACAGATGCAATGCAAATGAAAGCAAGCAGTATACTCTACTACATGAGACTATACCTACAACTACTTCTGCGCAGTTTGTTGTTTGATTTGGCACAAAGAATCGTCAGTGTTGTGGGTGCTGTGTACCTTAAACTGTCTAAACTGTGTTTGATTCTGCGGATCAAAGCTGCTGAGGAACTACTGAAGGTACACGGGGACCCTGATCTACATTTAATTAACATTAAAGCCACAGTGAACAGTTTCAAAGACACTTCCTCAACAGACACTTTGTCAACTTTGATGGTGAATTTCAATTTCTGAACACAAAAAACAAAGATAAGATGTGATAAGAGCAACGTGAACTTTTCTGGTAATTTGCAGAGTTTGTTAGAGCGTATTAGTTTATATTAGTTGATGGTTTTTGGTTAGTTATTTAGTAGGTTTAGTCGTTTGTGCTGCACAGCACAGTATACCTCAATACTCAGGTGTATATTTTCAATTGAGGCAAAATGTTCTTGCTCAGACTGTTGAGATTGGGAAGAAGCCGAACTTGAAGAACATGGCAATGTGGACACCTGAGTTAAGACACCATCATCATTCTCAAATACTGGGTTCACCCTCAAAGTATTCTCAAAGGCATAGGGAGCAAGGGTGTGCCTACAATGTAAAGGAGATGAGGCGGTGAATGAAAATGCTTTTAAAACAAAAACACCCTTTGAATGACAGAAACACTTAAAAACGTGTGAAAAAAAAGGGTTCATACTTACACCAAAGTTACAGCTTTTCTGGTCTTTATACATTTCTTGTTAATGAAAATCAAAATGCCAATGATGGCACAAACAAAGCAGAGACTTCCCACAAGGCAGGTTATAATTAGCGGCGGGTCTACCGGCATCGACACCAGCTCATTGCAGTGCTCTCCATGGTAGTGCCAGTATTTACCTACAGGGCATCTGAAAGAGATGAGGAAATATATATAGGTTAGAGCGATGCACCCTATATACTGTAAACCGAAATAAAATGAGTTTCACTTTGTCTGCTGTTTGCACATATTTCATAAGAAATGCTGAAGTATCTTTAATAAATACCTCAATAAATATGTCAGTGGTGTAGCCATAAATAGACCCAGTGTAAATAAAATCAAGTCTGACAACTAAGATTTAAGCGTTGGCTGCTAAACAGGAACAATAATAGAAAGAAACTATTAGATGCACATTATCTTCTCCACAGCATCAATACAGTATTTGCTTCATCTTGAACTTCTGGGTGAGATAACATAGCTCAAGTATGCACGTTTCTCAGCAAATCTTGGATGTACCAAAAAAAGGATTTGAAAAAGTGCCTGCTTGCGCTCGCATCTGCATTACAACACAATAAAGAAAGAGATGAGATGTTGTCATGTTGTTTGTGTTCTCTTTCATTTGTCAGCTGCTGTGTACCTGCAGGTGGCTCCATGCCCAGGGATTATTTCGCACAGGCCTCCGTTGAGACAATAGTTTGGCTGCAAAGTGCAGGTGCTCTGACACGGCAGGCCGTTCTCGGTGCTGTAGCCTGGATCACACAGACACTCTGCCTCCTCGGTCCAACTGTTTACCACGCAGCGTGAAAACTCATTGCAGGCCAGGAACTTACAGGGGTCTGCTTGGTCAGCTGAAACCAACAGAGAGGAGAGAGGAAAGGGAAGAGAAGAAGCAGATGAGAAGAGAGAGGTAGAAGAAATACACCAGAGAGGTGATAGCTCATTAACATTAATGCACGTCTCTCATGGTCTACAGATTCAGAGGGGAAATAAAAGGCCATTTTGATTGATGTGCATGGAGGTATCTGTTTTCAGTAAGGTCTGCTAAATGAGGTCACAAACAGTCATGAACTCATCCAAGCAAAAAGATTTATACAGCACCTCACCCAAACTGCAAGAGACAGCAGAGTGAGGAGGCATGTTGTGTCTGACCTTGTAGCATGAATGAGCATAAGAGCAGATTATGTTTTTTTTTTTCTGGATGAGGTGTCCACATCCTGTCATCACATCTTCCAGGACTGCCATATTTCATTCACACAAAATGAGCAAAGACATTTCACCTGGTTCCACTTCCAAGGAGCGACTGTCGATCTCGATGTCAAGCCGTTTAGATGCTGCATTACAGAAGTCTTCGAGCACACAGTGCACAGCTTCTGTGACATTATATGGTACAGGCTTGTCCAGTTTCATCCTGCTGTTTACCACGACACTGCCGTTCCTGAAGTTTAGAATTTCTAGCTGCTTAAATCCAGTCAAATTGGACTGAAGATATGGCAGAAGCTGTGGGGAATGAGAGGGAGAGCAAATTAATTTCTTAGGAAATTAAACAGGTCATGTTTCATCAATTTACTCAACTACTCCTTTTCAAGTTTTTCAAGATGTTCTGAAGTATCTCATTTAAAAAGCAGTTTTCTGTGCAGTTAGTGATCAGTGAGAAAAAGGTCTTGACTTGCAGCAGGAACATGGAATATAGTGTTCCTGAGAACCAAGATTGATTTCATTTTATGGGATGAAAGATGATTCTTGATCCTAGGAGGACTAAGATTTTAAGACTCTTGGATATTTAAAGTAGGTGAATGAAATTATGTCATGTCCGTGTCAAGAGTCGGTGAAGATCTGTGTCCTCCTCAGAAGAAGACCAGGGGAGCAAGGATCACATTGACAGGACTGAATTTCATAGTACAGCTTATTTTAAATTATTCAGGTCACATTTTAAAGTGTGAATGCTATGAATAGTTCACAATTAAATTTTGATGCAAGCATGAAATTTCTGCCATTACTGTGTTGACTGTGTAATTAGATCCAGAACAATATTAGGGTTAGGTTTATAAACATTAGTATAAGAACACAGAACATGTTAATTCTAGTCATGGAAGAGTCAGAGAACACATGATGAAGAGATCAGACACTTGCAAAGACTTGCAAGACAACAAAGCTATCTCAGGTCAAAGACATCTATAATATATGCTGCTTGGTGGAGGCTTTATCTCAATATATATGCAATATTGCTATGTCAAGTGTCTGCATTACCCCACCAACACTGCCCTACAAAGTCAAAACAGTAATGATATAGTTGCTCAAAAATAAGTGCACATTAGAATTTTTGACATTTTCACATCTGTTTTACCATATAACAATTATTATACCAAAGAAATTTGCAAGTTTGGGAGGGGGGATAAAGGTAAAAACCGAACTGCAGTGATAATCTGGCTATAGACTAGCTGATCAGATAACATTAGCTAATGCCAATTTACCCCCTATTTCCTACCCGTTTCCTGTAATTCAAAAATCAGTTTTGATGCGTTAACATCTTTGTAATTTAGTTTGTTATACCACATATATAAGGCAAGAGCAAAATCTAATAATTATGGAGGAAAAAAGTTCACCAGATAAGCTAGTCTGACTAAAAGTTAACTAGCCTAGCTTAGTGTAGCATTAACTGCCCCTGGAATTAGCATGGTTTGAGCTAACTCCACCTTTTAATCACAATAATGTAATGTATCTAAAGACTGACATTATAATCCTATTAATCAAATTAAGGTTTTCCAATTTATATAGGCTATATTTTGCACAGTTTAGCTGAGAAACTTCAAACCCTATTTTCTCAACATTGCTCTTTGTGCGGTTACTGCTCTCTGTCACAGCATCACCCACACCTAAAAAAATATCTGTTCCGTAAAAACACATCTAAGCACTCACATAACTCACTTCTTAGAATTTTCCACATTGTTGCATTTAAAAATTCTCCCTCAGACTCAGACTTGCAGCTCGGATAATTGAGAAGCCAATCTATTAGGTCTATGGACTTGGACTGATGACAGTGGTGATATTTAGACGGGGAGGAAGTCAACCAGCTCAAGTAATGGACCTGCATCAATGTTCATCGATCTGAACCACTCTCCTCCCAACCAATTCATGTTCACTCCAGACGAGGCAAACATCAAACCACTGCAGTGTGAGAGGGGGAGATTACGATGCTTTAGCTGGCCTGGCTGTCGGGCGGGAGATAAGAGGCCTTAAAGAGCTCTGCTCTGATCGGGTTACTTATCACTGGCAGACACTTTACTGAGGGGTAGGTCCCTATAGCTAATAGTCTCTGAAAGGAGAGTACGAGATTGTCCAACATCCAGAACAAATGGGCAACAGGGTGCTGTACAACTGGACACACAGCTAGCTGTTTGGTCATCCATTTGTCTCAATGCAGAATGTCATTTTATACATGTACACTGTAGATTAGATACCAATCTGTGGCTCTATTGCCTTCCACACAAGGTCAAAGCCGAGTCCTTTCACAACAAACCTCAGTACAGTCTGTACTATCGACTAAGGAACAGTAAACATTCTGTTCCTTTGCCACCTATATACACGAGACTTTTGTAAAGAAATACATTCAGCATAGAACAAATACAGCCATAACTTCATACTTTGACACAATCACATTTGCTTCTCAGAGGTTACACTTGTATCTACTGGTTCTTGTTTTGGAAAACCCAGCGAAACATCCCTTCTCTGATGCCAAAAAATTAAAAAAGTCACAAGGAATATTACATTGCCATGAAAATGTTTCTGATTTACTGGAGCAAATAAAGTCATTCCAACCTCCATGTCCAAATTTATTGGTTGCTTCACAAACCAGTAGGTACAGGAGTAATGGTGGAGTGTGGCAGAGGAGAACAGGAAGGCTGAAAGCTACAGTATCATAAAAAGTGTCCAATATCCAGAGAAACATTACATGTTTCATTATGTCCATTTAAATGGGCTGCGTAATGTATATTTGACATCTCTTACTCATAGTTCCTGCTATTTTTCAGTGGTTTATAAACCATCTAGGACCAGTTTGAAATATTTGTTTCAAAAAGTGTCCCATCTCTACTAAATAGCCCATTTAAAGGAAGATATCTTAATGGGAAACTGACAAAAGACAATATATGGTAAAATACTTACCAGTTCAATCGGCTGACCACATTAGTTTTGCCAGGAACTTAAATACATTGATTAATGAGGAGAACTGCAGAAACCACGGTTTGGGCAACCATTAAAGATTGGAGATGGAGTGTTATTTGTTATTGCTTTGTATTTTTGTATGTCATAAATATCTGTGTATGCTATGTAATTTCTGTCTGTGTATCCCTACCTCTTTATATCTCCTGAGCCAGTGAACACACAGATTTTGTCTATATCTGGTATAAAGAAATTGTCTAATAATTAATTATGACCCATTCTGTTTAAGAATACAAAATTAAAACAGATCCAATTCATGGCACAAATCATCAAACCTACATCTTTTCACATTTTCGTCTACTACTATAATAAATAAGTGAACATCTTCTGAGAGAGTATTAAGATATAATACATTATTAGCCATTTATGTTAACCCTGAAGACTTATCACTAAGAAAACTGTAAGCCCACCTTCCCTAGTAGCTCACATTCTCCCTGCTCCTTGGCATTGCAGCAAACAGACAATACAATTTTTACCTATGAACCTCCTCAATTTAAGGCTCAGGCATTCACATAACACAGAGTGCAGGGCACCTCTTAACAAGCCTAAAAATGTGTCCTCTCTAACCTCGGGGTAAACCTTGAGACTAAATAAGCATGTCAAGAGATGCTTCTTTGTTTGATGTAAGCTAATAGGTGCAGGTTTAAAGAGAACATGTACATTGCATTTGCACATAACTGTTCTAAAACAAAATGACCTAAACCAATCAGTGATCTATTTTGTTTAATTGCCTTAGTTGCCTGTAGCAGTACATAAATACAGTATGTTTATAATACCAGGTAACCCACACATTAACACTGCTGCAACACGCATACAGATGTCCGCACAAACCTGACTGATGTCGCACTAAGCAGATTGGAACCATTAATAGCACAATGTGTGTGGTGCTGGAACTGACCAGAATTACTTAAAGCTTCTTACCATGAGTCACAAACCAATGACTAAGGCAGACCCATGTCCCATGATTCAGACTACCCAGGGCTAGTTTGCTGTCTACCACGTGTAAAGCAATACAGTTCTAGGAAGATAAAATGCATAAACCTGCATTAATTAATGCACTCATTCTCTCTGAAAGTTTATCTTTAAGGCTTACAACATGCACAAACACACTGGTCAGATCTGTAACACACACATATGGGCAACATGTAGCCTGCAAAAATAAATTCTGGATTTTCTTGGTGAGAAACTAACTGGTCTAACTTGACTTCACTTTTCCCCTACATACTTAATTTCTCATTTTCAAAGCGAAAACTGTAAGAAGCATACACTGTACACATATACACACAAATTTAGCCAAACAACAGACAGACAGACAGATAATAATCAGTGCAAGCTATATAATTATACAAAGCAGCTTCGACACGCAGAAACTCTTCAGTATATTACACCAGAGAGCTTGTCTGTACAAAGAAACGACAACAGTTGTTTTGCTCAAAATGTTAATCTTTAAAAGTAATAATTCAATGTTTTTGGGAATCCGCTTATTAGTTAAATGAGAAGACTGATACACCTCTTATATCCTTTAGCTAAATATGAGGCTGCTAGCAAGTGACTAGTTAGCCTAGCTGGGTAAAGAGACTGGAAACAAGGAGAAAGCTATATATGGTTTAATTCATACAAAACCAAAGTTAACTTTTGGGTAGAGCGAGGGTAGTTGTGTTTTACCCTGTTTTCAGTCCTTATGCTAAACTGAGCTAACTGACTGCTGGCCACCCAAACAGGCACATATATAGTACACACCTACAGCACACACTGCTGGTTGATAGCTATCATACAGGCAGCATTTGTATGTGGTACATGCTGTCTGGGGTGAATAAATACATTCTGCAAAAACAATCCAGCTGTCAAATTTGTGCATAATGCAAGCCAAAGATTCACATAACTTTCTGTTTGAACACACCATAACCAGAAAAGATTTTACACAATGCTGAACTATTCATTTAGATGATTTTAAATGTTTAGTTTTGTTGGTTCTATTAATATATTTCACTCAGAACTCACTCACAGAAGTCTCTTTTGTGTTAATATTCAACAACAAAAATTCCTTGCAGACAAATCTTACAAAATGACACTCTTAGAAATCAATCAAACAGAATCTAAACAGTGCCTGAAAAAAGCCAAAACTTTAGCACAATTCAAAGAGTTAAGGCAAAACACACAAAAACAATCTTAACAATATTGGAACCCAATTCACAGACAAAACCACAAAAAGCAACGGCATGAAGCAAACATAATATCTAAAGCGAAGCCGAAAACTAAAGCTGAGTATTTTAGAAAGGTTAGAAATGTTAGGTGCTTTCAGATTGTTCGATACTGCATTTCAGAAAGGTTAGTTAAGAAATAGAAAGGTCACGCTCTCTCTGAGGCATTGGAGATGTAGTTCCAATATGGAAAAAAAAAATACCGGTATGGAGGCTAAAGTCGTCTGTCTCCTAAGCCCAGATTTACTGGAAGCTCCAGGGTTTGGCGAGTTTCTGGACCCAGAGTGCTGTGTCTAAGTGAAACAGAATAATTTGACCAGTTTTTTCGTTATACTGTTGACACAATGGCTCCTCTGATATTAAAACATTTGCAGAATTGATCAAGAATTTGGCGATTGGTTAAAGCCTTATCACACTTCACAACACTTACACACGTAAAAATATAAATTTGTTATAATTTACTGTTACTGTCAGAATTAACAAACAGCTGTGAGGATAAGGCACATCCTCACTTGTGCAGGACAGCAATATTTAGATTAAGCACCAACTGGGGGCTACTCTAAATTGTCCTTGCATTTGCTAAAATATCACGTAAAACGTAAATATAGAACAAATGTACTTTTATCACATATTTCAGCTTGGGCTACAAAAGCAAGTATGAGAATGAAACATGGAGAAGCATGATATCCAGCACAAAAGCATGTGTACCTACCAGCTCAAGAAAGGTATTCTCCAGTGATTTATACTCCGGGGAGCTCTTGTTGAACAGGTCATCAGAAAACATCATGTTAGTGACCCTCAAGCTAAAGAAAACCACTAACTCTTTGCTCTTGTCCACTGCGGTCATCAGAGGGGTGCTGGCTTGTCTCATGGCTGGTGCAGCTGTGGATTCGTACGGGCGTTCATCAGACTCTGAAGGGAATCCACTACCGCTCTCTTCCTCCAGAGGCTCGGTCACCTCTGCCTCCGTCCCGTTCTGACTTGGTCCTACTTCCTCTTGAATGTTGGAGTTCTCAGCAGTAAGGTCCGTTGAGACCAGGGTAATTCCGCTGTGCCCTCCATTAGACTCATCTCTGTCTTCAGGGGCTTCGCCGCTCTCTACAGGAGATGGCAAAGGCTCTGCATCTGTTTCTGGTTCAATGCCTTGGACTGTATCCTCATGAGGTGATGGTGTGGAGAGTGGGACTGAAGCTTCTGTGACAGTTATCTGCATAACTATAGGATCTGTTGACTCCGGTACATCAAGGTTAACCTCACCAGGTTTATCACTCATCACTTCCTCAGGTTGAGAATCTGAAGTTGCCAGGGGAAGGTCCTCGTTCTGTGGCTCTGCATGTTCTTCATTGACCCCATCAGCTGGATCAGGTTCTTGTAAAATAAAACATATCATGAAAGAGGTTTTATTAGCAGAGGGAGTTACTTTGTGTATGAAACAAATACACCGGTACACTAACTGTTATGTACAGGTATGAATGCAACTTAGATACTACACTCATGCATCATGTTCTACTGCAATTTTATGGCTTAGGTTTAGGTTTTCTTACATGGACTCTGTACAGTGTTGTTGCTGTTGTTGACCAAATTCACCTCTGCTGCCATTATTCTATGACTTCATGTTAAAAACACACTACAGTTACCGGTTTTCTTTCCATGAGCTAGGTGAGAGGATCGATGCTACTTTCATGTCGGTTCATCAAGTACGGAGTTAGAGACAGGAAGCAATTAGCCTCGCTTAACAAACAAACTGGGAACAGGGAATGATTCCCGGTTTCCTCGTCCCAGTCTATGGGGTTTTTTTTAATGGATTTTTGGTTAGATGACACAGGCTCAAGGCATTTCCACTATTTATTCTTTGACATAAAATACGTCAGTAAATACCCTTAATAAACGTCTTAATAAAGGTGGTCACTAACAAGTGGCTAACTGAGACTACAGAGATTAAACATCACCGCGATGAACACAAAAACTTGCGCTTTTGCGAACTATTACTAACTTCCTTTCACTTTGTGAAAAATATTTTTTTCACCACCCAGTAAGTGTGGATCATTTGTAATCAAATAAAAAGCTATGGCAAGAAATAAATAAACAAATAAATGGCAATATAGTTCAGTTTAAGGTAAATTAGTAAGACTACTTTCCTTAATGGTTTTCACTCTGTTCTTTCACACCTTCTTTTGATAAGTTCCTTTTTTGCTATTCTCTTTTGTACTGCTAATATAATTCACTTTGATATTTTGTAATTACTCCCCTTGTTTGGTATCAAGCTATTTTTAGCTATCAGCTAAAATTTGCCTCTGCTTCTTTGTCCTGCCTGGCTGTACCTGTGTTTTTTGTCTTGTGCCCTTAACAGGAATTACCTTATCCCTCCCACCTCTTTCCCATCATCAGCAGAATCAAAACTCAGAAACCAGACAATGACGCCAAGTGTGGGTAAAGCTGGTGTTCAATTTTGAGTTTCTTCCTGCTATCTGTGTGTAGCTCTAAATGGATTTTACACCATAATCTAATTTTTGGTTGATCGATAAAGATTCTTTGAATTGCCTCTCCTGATTGAACTTCAAGATCCTGCTTAAAGACAAGATTTCACCTGAAGTAGCCTTATCATCTGTCACCTGTTCTTCAGGTTCAGCCTCACCTCCATCATCTTGTTCGGTTAGTGTAATTTCCTTCAACTCCGTCTCTGCCTCCTTCTCTTCCTGCTGTGTGGCTGCTTCCAGTATTGTGTCTGGAGTTATAATATCATCTGCCCCTTCAGCAGAATCTTCTGTGGACTCTTCTTCTACTGCTGCCATCAAAGGAGTCTCATCAGAGACGGCAGAAGTGGTTTCTGGGAGGATGGCTGGGATAAAAGGCACAAAGGTGTGTGTTTCTGGTTTGATTGTAGAAGCTTCCAGAGAGTTTTCTATCACTGCCACTGTGGGGAAGAAACTTTGAATGGGAGTTCTGTCCTCTGTTGGATCCTTTGTGGTGTCTTCCTCAGATATTACGCTATCGACAGGGTTCAGGCCGAGCTCAGCAACTGGATAAATTGTGGTTACTGAAATGGAAAAGTTAAAACATTTATACAGCTTTAAAATCCTACTCTGAGCACTACTACCCCTATTATTTTATATTGTTAGATACAAGTATGATAATATTCTTACCAGCCTCAAAGCTGAGTGTCTGTATGTCCAGCGGTAGTGACGGCTCCTGTTTTAAGGCCTTTGTAATAATGTGTTTCAGTTTAGGAGCATTTACATCCTCGCCTGTCTCTGTCTCAGGCTCCTCAAGACCCTCAGGATCATCACTGAGCTCTGTTTCTCCATTAAAGACCACGGCATAGCGCACAGACACATCCTCCGAGCTGATTAACACAACAAATCATGTCAGAATCCCTCAAAGCAGACAGACTTCACTGGCAATAGATGTCTACTAAGGCAGAAATATATGAGTCATTTCCCATAAGAGAATATTTTGGGAAATGTCAGAGTTTCTCTAGAGCAATAAAACACCTCAGTAAAAGCCACTACAGGGGAAAAATATGAAAATTATTACTTATTTACTTGTGTTGTTTTGTCAAAATGAATCATAATTACATAACAAAATCATAGCGCCAAACCTTTAATAAAAAACTTAATGAAACTCACCGAAATCCCAGAATACGAATCTCTTTGAATCCTGGAACTTTTTCAAACACAAGAAGCATCTATACAAAGAAAAAAAAGAGAGAGAAATGGGTATGAGAGAAACACGCCTTGCAATGCTGGGCTTTTGTCATGTCTATCTCTATATTTGGTAATTTTATGAGCTGAAGGAGTAATGTTCCCTTAAAGGATTTCAAAAGCATTCTGCACATTTGGTCAACTTAAAAATCTTCTAAAAACCAATTACACTAAAAGAAAAAAAAGAAATGCATTGTCACAAAAATTGGGGTCCATAATTCAAACAGGAAAATAAAGCAAAAGGGGCAAAGCATGGGGGCAAAGTCCTAGAAGGAAAGCAATTGATCATAAGCAGCCAAAGGCCAAAACACAGGAAAGGAAGCATGGATAATAAACATATGAGAGGAAGGCTTGGGATTTGATGAGGGGATTAAGAACAGGTGTGTATGTGGGCAAAACTGTAGGGTAGGGGAGGAATTGCAAATGTTCCAAAACTGTTTGTTTTATTAAAAAATAAAGATTATTTCTATTCGCAAATTATTTAATTTGGTTACCTTCTTCTCAAAAGATACGAAGTACGGCTTACTGGGAAATCCTAACTGGACCAAGGAGCATGCTCCCTCTCATTTCTGATAAATTGCGTGAGTGGACGTCAATTTTTTTCCCCTCAACGTTTGAGCAAGAAGCAAGTGTTCTTCAGCAAACAGACGCCAAAGTTAAGTCGCATAATGTTTAGCAGGTCCAAACAAAAAAAAAGCGCTTAGAAGAGGAAGGACAAAAGAGAAGAGGATTGGTGTACAGCTAAAATGACGAAATTAGATGATTAGATTTTTTTTTTAAAAACTCATCATGCTTGAACTGAAGTTAATGCTAGCAATGTTGACGTGCAGCCGGAAGCTAACGTTAGCTGCAATGGCTATACTCTCAATAGAAAACAGCAGAGACCTGGGATTTGGACTTGAGCAGTGTTGTTGATGACTTAGTTTAGCGACGGCGGATGAACTTCTAATGGGTGAGTACTGGTTTCTCTTTTTTATGGAGTGGGACTAGGGATTTAAATCTATTGCAGTGTTACCCTTCATATGTTAGAAAAAATACGCAGCTAATGTGATCTGTGTGTATGATAACATTTGGCTGCTGTGTCGTTGATGACGAAGGATGAATTCTGTAAAGGCAACTGCTTGTGTGATCGGGTGTCTTTCATGTTTGATAGTTGGAGAAAGGCTGTGGTGGTTTGAGTCCAGGGCAGGCTGGTAGAGTAGAGTTGATAAATTTGACAGGAAGGCTGCTGTTGCCCAATGTGCTGATCAAAGGCTAGTTTGCAGGATGAGAGTTGCCTGATGAGTATCTCCATGGTGACATAGCCTTTATCTGCAGTGGCTGTGTGTGTCCTTGCATGTGAGCTTGTGTTTGCACTGGGGCCAATCACAATTATGTTATGCTACAGATTGGTAGTAGCCATATCAGGCACATGCAGATGCAGCTACTCTTGTTTCTTAATCTGACATAAGCAAAAGCAGCTGCTGTTGAATAGGACAAGCATTTCCATTGTGTTGTGCAAGCTTGATGCAGAGTTTTAGGAATGAACATAATCAACATTTGTGCATAGTTTGAATTTCTGTGTATTTCTGCTATGTACACTTATGGCCTCTCTGACAGCCTGCATTAACTAACTGAAGGCCAAAATAACATTTCTCTCAATTGAAATGATATGCCAGTAGCTTTTCACTATCAGAAGTCATTCTTAAGAGCTGTGGTCAGAGTCTTAGTCGATGACTTCTTACTCGGAGATTATCTACATGATTAGATCTTACTATTCCAGGCTTGTGGTCATTTAGAAGTCTTATCTTAAGTCCCGTGGTTGCAACTTTAAAGCTGTTAAATCAATCAGGGTAGGTTTTACACCTGAGAATATATTTTATCATAGAAACTTTTAGCTACATTGAACTCACTGTAAGACAACTTGCATAATGAAAGTGAAAGAATGGGTTTTGTTTTGAAAGGGAATAATAAGGTGAGAGAAATGTAGAACAAGACATAAGATTATGTTTTGTCGGCAAAGAGGTAATAAGTGGCCAATCAGCTGTTGTGTGAAATGAAGTTTAATAGAAGACACATCAGCTCAGAGAAGCATTAACATTAACATACTGTGGCTGTGTAAAATCAACACTTGACTCTCACCTTATCTGTGAGCTCTCGTGTGACGTCGTTGTAATGTGGAGCCTCAGGATCACGGAGGAGCTCGCTGTACGTCGGGTCCACGATGGTGACGCTGAATTCAACAATGTACTCCTCATAGTTCTCTTTTATCATGTTGGGATTGTCTTTGGTCTGTAAAACAGAAGTCCACAGTACATTGCAGTAACGATAATGATGTGTTGTGGTCCAGGTAGTAGAGTTTTAGCACATAGGAATGTGATTCTGAAAAACGAGGTCAAAGGTGTGGACTATCTCACCACATCGGCCTCAGTTGGAAGCAGAATCAGAGGGGGTGTCCAGGTGCCTGTGATTAAAAACACCAACTCACCAGTTAATTTATGATGCTATTATGCAAATTTATTGACAACAGTTAAGTTCAAAAAGTAGTGCAATTGCTTTAATTGAACAACATTGATGCATCCAACTCACAGTCCCTTCCTGGCTCTGGGGTTCCAGTGACAAATCTGGAAAAGAAAAACAACATGGTGGAGGTGTTAATAGCTTCTCTCATGCTTCCATTGCCTCTGAAAATGAAAATACCAATAATAATTTTATATTCCTAAAGAAATGACTGTAAACACAAACAGGAAACTCACAATTAACACAAATAGTAAGAGGGAAGTTTAGACCTACCCTTCATTCTCAGTCTGCTCGGCCACTATCTGGAAATAAGAAACAGGATATCGGCTTTCACAGATTTACACTGGAGATTAACAAGAAAACAGACCTGCAGTAAAAAAAATATTGTCATAAATGTGTTTGTGCTGCACTCACTCTGGCCACCATATCCAGATGCTCCTGAGAGCTGCTAAAGTTTTGAGCCAGGTCGTCCATGCAGAGGTTTTCATGCTGACAGGTGTAAACCCACGCTCGATACTCCTCTGAATTTGGGACCCTGTCCAAGAAGATCCGAAACGCTTCCCAAATGGCTTCCTGACAAACTGAACATAAATCACAGAACTTTTTGGATGTCTTGTTGACTTTTGTGAGAAAATATCAGATGAAATACATCACACTAACAAATAAGTATTAATATATAGAACGAGGATGGCTAGACAATGGCAACAAAGACAAAAACGACGGAAAATAGAGCATGGACAAATCAAATAATTGATCATAAAGACTGTTGTTGGTATTGATCTTGGCACCTCTGCCTGTGGGGAGTTTACTACAATTTAGAAATGTATAAGCTTTTAATTTCCTGCAGAGAAACCTTTCAGTGCAGCTTTAGTATGAATGTGCTGCACAAATAAGTCCACAGTGCCACAATGTTGTAATATATAACAAAATGTATGTATGTAATGTGATATAACTGGGACAGCACAAAACGGTAGTAAAGCCTGGCTCAGTAAATGTCAAAATGTATGTTAAAAAAAACATTGACTGTTCATGGCATTCTAGTGAATATTCAAGTCATGAGCATAGAGACCCCCTCAAGCTACAGTATGTTTTGTCTGCCTATGTGGCGGAAACAAGCTCCACATTGTCCAATATCTTGATGCCTGTGGGAAATTTATTCTCTGACAAACTAATTTCTGGAGCAAATCCATTACGTCCAATACACCAAATTAATCAGCCTCATTTTAAGATCATACGCAACAGCAGCTGTCATGGAACAATTTGCATTACCAAAACCAATTGTAACAGTCAAGGTGTCAATCTTAGCCTCTTAAAATCATCCGCAATCCATCCGTCTTGGACAAAAGATATTTGCACATAACTTCATTATATATAAGTGTTTCTCTGTGTGGCTTCCTAAACTCGGCAGTGAACAGCTTTGGTGCATCATCCAGTGGCATCACGACAATGTCACCAGGCTCCACACAATGAAAACAAATGCTAAAAATCTTCATACAATTTAGAGAATCATATATATTTGTGAGAACTGAAATATATTTTCTTTTCCTTTCAAATTAAAACATGAAAAACATCAAAGCAGCAGCTTTTTGTTCAACTGCCAAGACGTCTCTGTCAGATTAAGTGCTTTATTCTCATTGACAGAGTCCATGTTTTAGAAAAGGGGATATTGATTGTATTGCAAGATGTTCAGTCATGATTATGCATAAAGTTTAAAAAGTTCATTGACAGTATACCTTCACATCAAAGAGTAACAGTGCATCTCTTTTTTACCTCTGAGCTTGTAATAGGCGCGATGGCTGCCGATGACAGCTTTCATCGTCTCCTGGGGACACACTTTGACCCCTGTGGTGAACACCGCTGACCTCTTTGTCCGATGTCCGTCCTGCTCTGCTCTGACATTTGTAGTGTGTCTGATTGGTCTAGAAGCTTCCAGAAAGTGTCTGTATTTCACATCCCTGAGTCCAGAAAAACCGTGGTCATGAAGGTCTGCAAGAGCATTCAATGAAGTTAGAAGTTTAGGAAGAATTATTATAATGTGGCCTATTTTTAATGTTTTTTTTTTTTTTTTTACAGTATTCAGAAAATGAAATTTGACTAAACATGAAACATCTGAGCACTGTGAGAAGTAACTGAAATTTTGTGGACTATCATGTAAGTGTGAGATTTCTCACTCATTAGTACAGAGCGTTGGTGTGGACAACTGTTATAATTAACAGCTGATGGGTGACAATACAAAACCAAAACTGCACTCTTTGTAGTAACTGCACTGTAGTTAGTGACATAATGCACTTAAATTAAGATAAATGGTGGAGTTTGTTTCTTTGGCAGTTGCAATATAAACGGTTTCACAGTTTCAATGAATAATTCAAACACAAAAATCTTGGATGTTGCCAAAGCAAAATCCTGCTTATGTAACCTAAAATTAAGTTTTTAAACATAGCAAGTGTCAAAGTGCATCTTTGTAAGCCTTACAGTGTGTATCCAGGAATCACATGCTTAGAACCAGCTCACTCAGGAGTATTTGATGTGACAGATACTTAATCCAACAAGTTACATCATTGCATCTGTCTAGCCCTCTTACTGTAAGTTAACTGCTGCTCTCCTTGTCATTGCTTTATAATTAGCACCTGGCTTTGCAGTGAAAAGTGTATTTGCATGGAAGGTGACTGTCCCTATTCTGGGACCATATAACACAAAGAAATCCTCTGTGTATCCTGTTAAGTTGCAATGAGTTATTTGAGCTTTCAGTTCACTGTGTTGTAAAAACATCTGGGCCTGAAGCTTGGATGTGCTGGTTTTCAACTTGGGAGGAAGTCATTTTGAATGCAGGGAAAGTGCACAGATGTGTAAAGAAAGTGAACGAGTAACACTCTCTTCTCCCTAAGGAACGGTTGCTGAGACGCCCTTGGGCGACTCAACTTGACCTGGCCTTACTGAAGCTGCTCAGTGACCAGCAGTGTAAGGATGAGTTTGTACTGGGCAACGTCCATGTGCGACTGTGCAGAAATGCACGCATGTGGATTACAGCTGAAAATGGATTTGCGTGCACAAGCAAACCTTAAAGAGATTCAAATAAGAGGTGGTAGAGGTGGTAACCCAGCTTTTTTTTTTAGCTGTTACTGAAAACCAATGCTGTGATATGGGTATGTTCGAGCAATAACACACACACACACACACACACACACACACACACACACACCTGTTTCCAAAAATGATTTCACTGCACACATGATGAGAACTGCCCCAATTTTCTGATCACCTTAGTAAAGAAAACAAGCTCAGTCACCCTGCTGAGGTATTACAGAAAGATAATTCTGCACCATTACACAAGCCGGTGTGCCAGTCAACTCTCCAACACAGTCACCCCATTGAGTAAAGCTATTTTAGAAGAAAGGCACTCATTGTGATGCCAGGTGGCAAACCTCAGAGGGCTTCTTAAGACAATAAGCCAGGATTTATGAGCCCCAAAACACAGACTGGAGGTCCAATAAGAAACTGTGCCTCCTCTGGATTAGGGAACAGAATGAAGGTTATGAAAAAATAAAAAGCAAGTGATTGTAAATAATATAATCACTGTTGCATTGGCATCAGACACGGAGCGTTTAGCTGGAGGTAAACAAGTGGGCCATCTTTTACATAAATCCTTAGCTGTGCTACCTGATCTTCAGCATGTAGCAGCAACACTGTGTGGACCAAAACTGAACCACAAGTGACCACATAACACAGCAACAGTCCAGAGGGTGTCAAGTGAGAGCATGCTGCCAGCTTTAAGTATGTGTATTAGTATCTGCAGTGGGTGGACATAATATCACAAACACCTGTAGAAACAAGCGCAATGCAACACAAGGACGTGCAAACAAAGCCTGCAACATATTATACAAAATTGCATTTGGCTTTAAAACATTACTGAAATTTCACTATTGAATTTACTTGGTATAGAAGTTAAATTGAAAATTCTTTGTTTTTATTTAAGTTCTGATTACACAGATGATGAAGTGACAATAAGATAGTAATGATCATTTAATTGGTTGAATGGCAGAACAAGGCCGGTTCTCGCAAATATGAGGATTTGTTTTCTCTTGTTTTTGTTCTTTGCTCTGTCTTAATAGACAGAATATGTTTGGGCTTTGCACTGTTGATCAAATAAAACAAGCAATTTGAAAAAGTTGCCTTGGCCTCTACTAGTTAGTTAATTTTATATTAGAAAATAATAATCATTGTATAGTGGTCATATAAGGGTTTTAATGATATGATTTAACACTGATTCATTCTCTCTGAGTTTGTGTGTTTGTCTTGTTTAAAATGTGATGTTACAGGTAATTGTACAGTGTTAGTGTTGGAATGGAAACACCATGTAGCTCTGGCACACTGTTTTCATATCGCAATTGCAAATTATGATGATTTGTGTTGTCACAGGGTTACATTTCTATGTTAACCTCATGTAGAATTTGCATTGTAATGTTCTTTTCTGTTTAGACATGTTTATTCAACCCAACAACAATATGTACTAGTAGTACGAGTAGCCTTTAATAAGGAATTAGAGCTTGTTCAAAACACAGGCATTCATTGATGTTTTGCTGGAGGAAAAAAAAAGAAGAAAAAACTGTGTTAATCTCTGTATTACGAATAAATAATAACCTCCACAATGAACAATATTGTTTTCCTTGGATCCAAATTTGGCCCAACACCAAGAACATGCAAAGAATGTTTGGCTATTGATGTTGTAGCCTGTAGCATTTTGGGCAAGTATGCCCCCTGTTTAGTGTCTGCCAGGCAGACCCTTTCACCAACAAACCTTCCTTTTCCAAACCTTCCAGCAGGTCAGACGGTGGCCTGACATTTAGCCAAGTCATGTGTGTTTTCACTAAAAATCACGCCACCAAGACAACATTTGAATGGGTTTTGCGGAAGCTTGAAGACTGACTTGCACATGCTCAGACACGGGGGCCTGAGTGAGAGGAGGGAGTGTTAGAGCAGGCCTTAATGCCCAGAGCAGCCACAGAAAGGCCTCACAGCAGAATTACAAGCCAGAAAAGATTAGCGTCCTGCGACACTGCAAACAGAATGGCTTTTGTTTCCTTCAGGATAATGAGCTCACCCGGGCACATCACGCTGAACAAGACAACCAGTGCGGACGCAAATGTTATCACTGGTGAAACGATGCTATCTTTCTCAGTGAACATCTATTATATGTCACCGCCTGTTAAATTCACAGTGAATATTCATGACCTTAAAAGTGGCTCGTTGACTGCTTGACATTTTCTAAAAATCAATGTTTGAGAATGAGCTAGCATTTTGTAGTCTGCAGAGTTATTTCAACTGCAAAGTCACAGAGACACACACACACACACACACACACACACACACACACACACACACATACACACACACACACTCACACTTCTAACTGGAAAACCCAGTTGTCCTTGAAGTGACTCATCAGCTCTTTAAGTCTCCTGTCATGCAGTAGAGCCTCACTGATAGAAACCTGGAGGTAGATCTTTACATCAAAGGATTCCTCATCAACTTAAACTGAAAGGGATGTACACAGTGTCCTTTTTTCTTACTTTTCCAAATTCTTTCATGATCCATTTGTGTAAAAGAGGCGTGCAGAGATACATTATTGGCTTACTATTTTATTGACAGAAAAATGCTGTCTCAGAGTTAGATTGTTGTAATACTGAAATCTGCTGTGTTCTCCATGTACAGTAGAAAAGCAATAACTAGAATCCCAGCCTGGATTCTTACCTTTGATTTGACTTGCTTGGAGGGTAAACAGACACAAAGTGAAGAATAGTCCTGACTTCAAAAGCATGATGGGCTTATTTATGTGGTTTTCAAGCCCGAAGTTGTCATTTGTAAAGAGACTCTTGCACACAACAATAAGATCCAGAACCTCTTTATCTCGAGTCCATTAGCAGAGTGCATCAGAGGAGGGAGTCCAGTCCACTCCTGTCTGTGCTCCAGCTCAGTTCCTCAGCAGCAGCTAGTTCCTGGATGCTGTTGGATCCCTGTAGACAACAGCGGTGGCTGCATGGATGGATGAGCAGAGGGAAGCAAGGGAGGGAGGAGAGGTAGAGGAAGGAGAGACAGGGAACGGATGGAATTTTGGCTCAGGAGTTTCCTTGTATGTTGTCAGTGTGACAACAGTGATGAGGTTAAAAAAGCAGGCTCCGCTTTGAGTCTAATCTCTTTACCTTCTTCTTGCTGCTTGTAATCCCTGCGGGGCCACGTGGCCACCCGGCCTCATCCTGTTAGCCACCTTCTGGACCCTCATCTGTCAGCTGAACAAACCTGGGGATCTGCCAACCAGCGCAGACCAGATAACTACTCCCCTCAGTCGCCCCAAGTTTATCACTGACGGCCAGACTCTTTGTGAGTTCCTGTCTGCCTCTACGTGTCACTATCCGGCTGCCTAACTCTTCCTCTTTTTTCTCTCGGTTAAGATTCCTTCTTCCTGGGTGCCCTGGTGGTTTTGGGTGTCAATTGAGGTCAGGATTGCAGTTTTGTTCTGTACAGTACACCCAGCTACCAGTCAAACAATGGGCCCCTTTCTTACTCTAGCTTCACAGCTAAGTTCAGCCTTTAAGGCCTCTCTTTTGACTGTCAAGAGCAGTGTCCACTTTTAACCCTGCCCTTTCCTTTCTTCTGTATGTTGGCTGCTGCAGAGGCACCTGTTTGATCTACCTCCTCTGTTATTTGTGAGCTGAGGGACAAATTGACCCAACAGTATTTCCTGAAGTGTTGCAGTAATTCCAGTTGCACTGTGAATAAGCCTCTTCTTCTCTGGTCGCATCCAAAATTATTTTGACTTGATAGGCACTGCTTCACAGAAAGAAAAGAAAAAAAGAAAAAGCAGGATCAGGATTGTCTCCACCAATGATTCTGCTCCTCTTCACGTCCTCTCTTCTCTCTGCAGGTTTGGGTGTTGAGGGTGATGGCTGTGTAGAAAGAAGTAGAGACAGCGGAGGCTTGTGTGGCCTCTCATATTATGGTGTATAAAGGTGGGAAGGCTCCATGTTGTTAGTCTCCACCCTCGCTTCTTCCTGTGAGGAGGATTAGCTTCCCTTGTTGGTTGTTAACAATTTGCTGCAGTAAATAAGCCTACTCAAGAGCAACATAATCCATCCTGGCAGTAATCTGAACCTTGAACTAATGATTGTTGTTGCAACTTTATAGTGACACATTTTGAAGCGGCATTAATTAGCCCACTAGGGTGCACAAGTTGTCCTGGCTAACATGTTGGAAGACAATTTCCTACGTATTTCATTGAGCATACTTGGAGGAGTCACTAACTTTGGTTGTGGGCCGTTTGGTGCTGGGCAGTAGAGTACAGTGTTTTTTTTTTTGTTTGTTTTTTTTTGCTGAAAACAGCTGCCTGCTTCAGATGGGAACAATGCGAATGGGAGTGAATGAAAACATTACAGTTGTGGGCTATAAAAACAAAACAATGAGCTGAAAGACACTAAAAAAAGGTCGGTAGAGCCCAGGGCAACTGCAGAGTCAGATCATAATTATCTGTGGGTTCATCACTACCGAGCATCTTTCACATCACACATATTAGTGCAGCTCTAACCCTTGATTATCAAAAACTAACTGAAATGCAAAGAGAGAGGTTGCTCAGTACTCCTTTCTGCTTTTCAAGCTTTTGTTGTGTGTTCATTTCTCTTTATATTGAAGAATTATTCTGTAAACAAACTGAGCAAATTCGCACAATTGCACTAAACAGCTTCCCTTATTTCCTGTGTTCCTGTTGACCTGTTTTGGAAACTCATTTGATACATTTTACAGTTAATTTCATCTTATAAAACAATCTCATTTAAGTTGTGTCGATCACTGGGGCGTACATTTTGCTTATCTCCATCTGATGGTTGGTGAGATGTCAGGGTCAGAGTATATGAAACTAATGCTCTAAAGCAACACTCATCAAAAACTCCAAACTGTACCTCTGGCTTCCAAAATGTCTGTGAAGAAAAACAAAGAAAGCATTTCACCTGGACATTCATCTTAGTTGAAATGGAGGTCATACCAGGTGCAGCTCCTGTTATTACAGTGGGGTTGACAAAATTATAAAATCATAATTATCATATATATTCACATACTGGAAGAAGCTCATTACACCCACACTGCGACTTTGTGAGGACTGCTTTTATTTAATGTTGACTTTTTTTACATACAAGACTTCGCCACCAAAAGGTAAATTAAATTTAAGATTAACATGAAACTATACATATATCAACAGAGTTTAGACTGGTAGTCTCTTGTACACTTTACATATGTTATATAATCAAACCTGAGCATTCCAGTTTATGACCCTGACCCAAATCCATTAGGATTACGGTCAGGGTCCGAGATCAGGTAGCGGTCAAGCTTAAGTTAAAGATTTTAAAATTAACTCTGAGGATTAGGAGAAAATTTGACATTGAGCCCCAAGTGTTACTATTAAGTTAAAGTCTGAAATTAGTTGACACTAATGCAAATTCATTGTTGAATTTTTGCATCATTTATGCATAAAAGCAGCCTAATTTTGTAGCTGACTACAAAATGTACATTAATAATGTATTTTTAGCTTCACTGCATATTTATGACTCACTTTGATATTTTTCCCAAGATAAACAAATCCTTGTCAGTCTCAACCAGGATTTTATTCAGACAAGTTTGACCTTCTCCCAGTGGCTGATGACTTGAATCATTGTCCAATTACAGAGGTCAGTTTAAATTATGCAACAGAGGGAAAGTGGTACTTGCCATCTGTCAGAAAGGGTTATTTCATTAGGGACAGAGCCAGGGTGTCTCTGGTTGGCAGACTGTGCCACAGTAAAAGACACCTCTGCTGTTAACATCCATCACCTGCAGCTCTTACAGTAAGCTATGTATGTGTGCATGTGCATGCATTGTTTTATGTAATGTTTTAATCCAGAACATGTTTGCATAAATAATTGGCCTTTTTGATACTAAATTCAGATCATGCAACATTTGCATTTTCATTGTGTCTGAATGTCAGTGACCATCACTATTAAAGTGTCCCACAAGTAGAACCACATATTTTTCAGCTGTCCTTCGAAGACGCAACACAGTAGGCTAACAACATTTTAATACATACGCATATAAAAACTTCTCATGCCAAAGAGATAGATATAGATATATATATATATATATATATATATAGTTTCTGTGCAAAGAGCATGAAGGAACAGACAAGTTAAAGCAGGAGGGAAACATCAAGTGAAAGCTAGCTCCATAGCTACAGCCAGTTTTAGCTAACGATAAAGAGACAACTAAAAAAACTGTAATCTGAAATTGACAGTATACATTTTGATGATTACCATCTTGGTAATTCAGTTTGCCATAACCAAATAAGGCAGTAGTTAAATCCAAGCACAATGACTCTTGTGGAATTCATACAATTTAGTTTGATTAAGCTATGTCACATATTTATTTGTATCAAATTAGAGATTCAATTATTATTGATTTCCTGTAAGCATTCATTATAGACAGGCAGGCACTAGCAAAATAGAGCTACATTTAATCCTTATGGACTGATATCAGAATTTTGTTTTTTGCCATTTTTGTATTATTATTATTGTTATTATTATTACTATAGGCCAAGGGCAGTATCTGCATATTTTAGGTCTTGGTTCTTAACCATCCTAAACAGATATAAAAATAAAGTCATTACATCTTTTGTATCTGTTACACAGTTTACACAGTCAGAAAACTTAAAACAAATTTTCTGTTTCACTGCTTCTGTAGTTACTTCTTCTCTGCCTTTTGTAGAGCAGCGAGGCACGAGATACAACATACAAAAACCTGTGTGATTCATTTCCAGTGAGGTCCCAGCTTTTAACCTTCCCTTGGAGAGCAGAGAAAGACGAGGGCCTGCGGGCTAACAGTCTAATATTAGTCATGTTTGTCGTAACACTCCTCTTTGGGAAAATCCACTCTGGGCTGATTATCAGTGTGATCCACTCCACTAGACCTGCAGCAGTGAAAGTACCATTGCCAGTGTAGAGTCTAAATGCTTGTGCCAACATCAACTCTGTGACCTGGCACTGAAGTTCATACGTGAGGATGTTCTTAGTCGTCCATAATCTGTGATGAAGATGTGCTCATAAGTGTAGTAGCCTTTAGAATGTGTAAAGCCCTTGAACCTGTTAACACTCATTTAGACACATTTAAACGGCTGTGTGGAGAGTGACTGCTAAAGGTCAGTCCTGGCAGCATGTATTCATGGATAACCGTCAGGAGGGTCAGTATGTGCACTGGCAGTAACATATCTGAGGCTGTTGTTGTGGTTGTTGTTTTGTTTCGGCTGCTGCCATGAGGGGTCGCCACAGCAGATCACCATCCACATATTTGATTTGGCATATGGTTTAGACCATATGCCCTTCCTTATGCAACCAGGGTTTCAGGGGAGCCAGGGATTGAGCCACCAAACCAGGAATCAGACGCCAATGTGCACAAACTAAAATAAATAAATATATGAAAATATCAAAAACAATAAAGGGGGTGTACACCCCTGCTCATATTAAAATATTACCTGTCAAATCTGTACAAACATCATGTTGTTTCCCATTCATGATGTTGTGCTCCAGTGATGTGTCCCAATTAGCAAAACCACCAACAGAGGGCAGCATATTTAACTGTCCCCTCAGAAGGCAAAATAACAACAGTTTGAAGTCAGTGAGAAGGAAAAGTATGTTCAGCCTCTGCAGATACACAAATAATTCAGTCAGAGATAAACATGTTTTTTCCCAAGTTACTTTTGCCTATTACTCATGTCAATTATGTCTGTAGAAGTAATGAATGTATGGTTTATGCAAA